CTCGTCGGCAGCGAGCCGTGCAAACGCGTTGGTGACGACGTTGATCTGGGGATCAGGATGCTGACCGCTATTGAACTTGGCGTTCAACGCCGTCTGGAAGAACCCGAAGAGGTCGGCAATCTGAGTGCTGCCATACTCCTCCTGGAGATATTCAACCAGCGACTTCGCAGTCTCCATCTTGTCCGCCGGGATGCTGCTCTTGACGTTAGGCGAGAGGCGCAATTTAATGCTGCCCCTGACCTTGACGTCGTCGCGCTTCCACGACGTGATCTCGTCTTGATTGACGACTGTGCCCGCGTCGTTCGTCCGAGGAGAAGGAACTTCTTCCTCAATGACGTAGGCGAGCCCTTGGGCTTCAAGCCACGACGACATGCCATCCACCCATTGGGTGAAGTTGTTCCCCTCGAAGAGGAACGTGGCCTGGTAGAGCGAGTTCGACATGATCTGAATAGATCGTCAGCATCGGATCGAACATCATAGTGGCGGCCAGGAACGGCGCCGATGAGCGAATCGAGCATGATGCCGATGGCCATCGTCTCCTTCAGAGACGGGTGCATCGGATCAAGCGTGTAAACGCGATCCGGCATGGTGTCACCTGCGCTTAGAGCGGCATGGTGACGGCAAGCAATGAGGGTGCTCGTCATTGCAGCCAGTGACGGCGCTAATGACTTGTGTCGCAGCCACAGAGGGCGCAGACACTGTGCCGCTGCCAGCAAGGGCGCAGGCACTGCTCACCGGGGCTCATAACCTGTTGAGCATGCTGGGAAGCGCACCACTCAGCTTACCTGAATATAAGAGAGCTTAGCTAGAGGCTATGCGCAGAGTAGGTGAAGACCTGTTATTACAGGGCAGAGGAGCCCTCCTTATATACTACAGGAGAGGCGACGATGTCATACGTAGTAATAGCTAATGAGTCAAGAGGACAGAACACGCTGAGTAAAGCGTACATGTGACAAGTCCAACCTATGTGTCCATATGTGTCCATCTGAGTCATATGATACTCGCGTGTAAGTGCATGTGATGCACACGTGACATGTCGTGACAGGCCGAATGTTCAACACGCACCTTGTGCAGTAAGGTGGTTTTGAAACCGACCCGACAACTTACGTATCCCGGATTGCAAACCTACGGACAACTTGTCGGGCGCGGCAAATGCCGATTTTCGCCTCGCCGGATGCCCGAGAGGTGGCCTAATAGGGCACCGGCGCCGTGATGCGCCCCGCGCGTGGCCGCCGCGGCGCGGGAACATCACACGCGCACGCGCACCCCGGATGCGTCGGGGACGCGCCACGTGCTGTTGCTGCCGCCTGCGCGCGTCGTAGCTAGCGCGAAACACATGTACAGTATGTATATAAGAGCTATATACTAAACATGGAAGGGGGGAGGACTGAAAGGAACAAAAAAAGCGGGAAAAAGCGCGAGCGAAAATTTCCGCTCGCGCTAGAGGCGCTCCCACCGCTCGTGCAGCGTGCGAGAGCGCGGGAAGATGGTGGGGGAGGGGTGAGGGATATCCCCCCAAGCTACGTACACCCATTCGCGTCGAAAGACGCGTCCGCGGTGGTCACGTAGCAGGTGGGGGGAGGGGAGGGGGAGGGGCTGCCCCGCGCGTTGTCAAGACGCGCAGTCGGGCGCGGGAGGACCTGGACCCAGCACCCCATCCCCTCACGCAAAAGGGGGGGTCCGAGGATTGGGCGAGGGGCGCAGGACGCGCGGCAGGCAACCGCTCGGCACGCTGCACGCACCGGCTGCGATCCCCGCGTGCATGGTGCACCGACGTGGCCACCCGGATGCGTGAGACGCATCTCCGGCGATGCGGAAAATCGCCGTCAAGGCGATTCTCCTGCCGGCAGGGGAGGGGAGGGGAGGGGATGGGCATGGGGAGGTGAGCGGCGCTACCCACGCGCGCCAGTCGCGATGGATGAGCGCGAAGGTATCGCGACAGCTATATAGCTGTCAAGGGCTCGCTTATGACGCGCAAAGCGTCATAGGCGATGCCCTAACGCCCTCAGACGTAGTCTGAGGGCGAAAATGAGGGGACGGGGGGGTGGTCTTCACCCCGCTTCACCACCTCGCCGTACTGGCGCCCCTTTCCCGTCTACGCCCTCCGCGCGGCAGACAAGTAGTAGTGATTAATAAAGTAGAGAGCGGGGCGCGTTCACGCACCCGTTGCCCCCTCCTATCCGGCTCGATGGCCATTGCCGTTGTTGTTTTTGCGCTGTCTTGTGTGACGCGCTTGTGGGTGTGCGCCTCGGTGGCGGCTAAATCGAGGTGTTGAGAAGTATTGGAAGTGGGGGAGGGATGAGGGGGAGGAACGAGGGGGACGAAGGGGCGGCATGGTGGTGGTTGAGGACGAGGGACGCGCGCGCTTGACGCCGCGGATGAGTGGACCGGCATCCCGGGCCGTCTTCCCCGCGGTGGCGTCGTCGCCTTCGACGGCCTCGGACTCAGGCCGAGAGGCAGCTAAGGGGGCGTTCTCTTTATAATATATTGCTACATTTATGTTAGAAACGATCTTGAGAGTTTTACAGCGTTTGAAGCTCACCAAAGTGCTTAAGTCGAGCTTGACCAGGGGCCTGCGAGAAGTACTGATTGATCACACTTTGAGTATTGCTTTTGAGTATCATTTTGCATCCCCCTCCCTCGTCTCCACATCGATTGCCTCCAAATAAGCTGTGATTCTTAGGCTATTAATGCGAGTACCTATCTGTGTACTTATAGGTTCGAGAAACAACCTTCAGTGCGTGTAAAATAAGGCAAACCGATCTCAAGAGCATGAATTTTGAATCTTTGCAAGATTTCGAAGCCTTCCCGCAATTCCCCGCTGTTCAAACCTCACATAGGCACTCTATGCTACTCACATAAATTTATAAAGCATCGCATCCAGAGCTCTGACCCTCTCGGCCTCTTTCCGAGGCCCTTGAAGACGGCGAGGAGGAGTCTCGGGTACTCGGTCCGGCCTCCGCGCGGTCCCAAAGAACAACAAATACGGTCCTGAAGAACAACATTCAGAGCGATCATGACGGCTATCACTACGTTTGCCCACCACCGCACCCGTCTCGCGCCCTCTCGCGCTAATGCCTCTCATCACCCTTTTCCATTCCATTCACCACCACGCGCCCTCAAAATCAAGATAAATCCGAAAAAATCGCCAAAACGGCGCCACACTCAGAAGCGGGAAGATCAAGACGACGCTGCTGCATTACAGCGCGCGGGGAGGGGTGATCGGTGCGTGAAAGCGCCCATTCTTACTATATGTTTCTAATTCTCATTTTTTGGAGCGTCAGGAAGCGTGAGGGCACCCGCGACGTGCAGCCGCGCATGCTGCGGCACTTTCCTCCCCCCTCCCCCTCTCGCACTCTTCGAAGGGGTGCAGGCTCTGCTCATGACGCGTGACAGCGTCATGAGCATGCCTCACGCGCCTTGCCGCCAACCAGTGCGCGCTCGCGCGAGCCGCAAGACCACCGCCCTCCCCAGTCAACCACCCTCCCCCTCCTCGCCATGGCACCATCCCTTGTGCATTGCGCTTACAGCTGCAACCGCCTCAGGCACTGCTTTAGGCATGCCTGCGCGTGTCCTGCATGTGCCGCTTGCAAGGGAGGACCTGTGAACTTCCCGCCACCTCCCACCCACCCTCCTTCCCCCCCACCTGCTACGTGACCACCACAGACGCGTCATTGGACGCGAATGGGTGCACGTAGCTTGGGGGGATATCCCCCTCTCCTCCCCACCTTCCTCCCGCGCTCTTGCGTGCTGTACGGGCGACGAGAGCGCGTCGCGCGCGAGCGAAAATTTTCGCTCGCGCTTTTCCCGCTTTTTTCCGTTCTTTCCAGCCCTCCCCCTTTGAGAATGTAGTATATATTTACTGTATACATCTTTTACATACATTCCGCGCGAACTACGACGCACAGCGGCGGCAGCGACAGCATGCGGCGCGCCCTCGACGCGTCCGGGCGCGCGCGCGCGCGTGATGTTCCCGCGCCGCGGCGGCCACGCGCGAGGCGCATCACGGCGCCGGTGCCCGATTAGGCCACCTCCCGGGCATCCGGCAAGGCGAAAATCGGCATTTGCCGCGCCCGACAAGTTGTCCGTAGGTTTGCAATCCGGGCTACGTAAGTTGTCGGGTTGGTTTTAAAACCACCTTACAGCATTAGCTGCTGCGCGCGGCCCGCGAGTTCCGCTGCCAGCACACCTGTGGCCGTAAGGACCTTTAAAAGACGTCCGACTATTATCATTCAGGTATTTCAAAAGACATCGTATGCCTTATCCACACAGCCACGGCCCCCCGGCAGGTCGCCGGGCAGGCTCCGGTCGACGCCCGATGCGGCAGGCGACCCCCCGGCCTTGCCGGTCGGGGTTTCCCGCAGCACGCGACGCGCGACGCGCGCGCTCCGCCGCCGCCGCCGTTGCCACGTGCCCTGCGGCGGCTGATGCGCCGCCTTCGCGCGCGCGTCGCGGCTGCTTAGTCAGCGCGTCGAGGGGCATCGCGCTCGCGCTCGCGCTTGCGCGCACCGCCGCCGCCGCCGTCGTCGTCGTTCACGTTGTGTCATGCAGAAAGCAAAGGAAAGTGTATATATTGGGTGGTAAATACATATAACGTAACTAAAAAGTGCGGGGGATGCGCAGAGAAACACAAAAAAGCGCATGCGAAAATTTTTCGCTGGCGCAGCATGCCCTAAGCAGCGCGCGAGAGCAAATGCGCACGCTCGCGCGTGCTTGGGGTGGTATAGGAAAGGAGGGGGGAGGGAGTGCGAATGGTGGTGGGAGGAGCGACGCTCGACCGGCATCACCATGGGGTACGTTGTTAGGTTGTGGCAGGGGGTGTGAGTGCAAGCGTGCGTGTAGTGGGTTGATGGGGGCGAGACGAGCCGCGCGCGGGAGAGGCGGCGCGAGTGGTGGTGGCGGTGGCGGTCAAAAGGCAGGTGCGACTGCCGTCGCACGGTTGCGCGCTAGCGAGCGGGCACCTGCACGATTGCAAGCGCGCGGGCGACCGCTCGCAGGTTTCAACCCCTCCTAGGCCGAGATGACCCAGGAATGTCGAAATACGCGTCCCGCGCCGAGCACAGCACCGCGAATTCGCCGGTGCGGTGGGTACTCAAACGGGCCGTGCTCGACACGGGGACGCGTTTCGGCACAGAGGGAGGGGGGACGGGGAGGGGGAGGTCTTGAGGAATTACTGATTAGAAAAATCGCCCCGCAGCGCTGGACGCGCCGCGGGGAGATGCACTGTAAAAAAGCGGGAATAGAGAGCAAAGGGGGTCAGTAAAAACCATGTGCAGAGCGCAGGGACGCACCTGCGAGATGCACGGGCATCCTCCCCTCCCCTTCGACGATTTTCCGGGGCTTTGACGCGTAGCCGCGCGTTGCAGGCGGCCCCCGCGTGTCGCTTGCCCGGCTAACATCGAGCGCGTGTTGAGCACGCATTTGGCGCGTGAAAACGCGTAAAACACGCCCTATATCGTCTTGTTATGAGAGGAGGAGGACGGGTGGACGGGTGGGGTGGTGGTGCGGGTGTCGAGGTGGTGGTTGGGAGCAAGGAACGCGCCGCCACGACACGGCGGATGTCCGGGCCGGCGACTCGGTCCGATGTCCGGGCTTCGTCGTCGTCGTACTCGACGGCCTCGGACGCAAGCCGAGGGATGCTAGATGGTAAAGTGAAGGAAGATTAGCGTAGTAGACATGTATTAGATTGCACATATGAGTTTTTGTAGCCTATAAGTGTCTGTAGCTTGCTGAACTTGAGCTTCAGTTACGATGCCCTTTGTGCAAACCAATGTATTCACCTTCTTCAGCCTTGAAAACAGATCTTTTGGGTTGTATCTCGCTCAAAACCAGACGGATGGGCGTCAAACAAGCTGCAATGCGTAGAGTAACTCTTTCTTTAACTTGGCATGTATGCTTTACAATATTCTGTGTTCTAGATAGAGTGTAGGGACACAGATAGTAGGTCTTGAGGGGCAAATTTGGAATAATTTGATGTCTGACACATACTCTGAGAGGGTATTCCAGTTCAGACCTCAGATTCAATTTCTATACACCCTTCCCCTCCTCTCTATCAAATTTCTACGCTCATAGATGCTCATTGGCATGCTCAAGGGCCCATCGAAGTTGACGAAGGCGCCGCTCGGATGCCCGGACCGATATCCGCGCAGTCCCGAGACAGATTTCAGCGGTCCCGAACATCGAGACCAATCTGGCACGGCTGGCCACCGCCCGCTGCGCGCTATTCCAGAGCGCGTCTCGCCGGTACTTCCCCCCAACATTTCCAGCAATCTTGGACACCTCTCCCCCTTCCTTTTCCACCATTTTTAGCACACGTGGTTGCTCACCGTTGCGCGCGCAGGCATCGTGATCGGATGCCTGCACCTTCCCTCTCACCACCACCTCGCCACCCTCGCCCACCGCCGCCCCCTCCCCCCTCATTCCTGTCGCGTCGGAAATGCCAAGCAGCCCCTCACACGCGCTCTCCCCACCCTAAGGCAGCGGCATGTGCGCGACCCGCAACCCCCCAGCCCGCACGCGCTTCCGAGCGTGGTGTTGATCCCCACGCCCCTCAAGACCGTTGCCCTCTCCAAAACCGCCTACGTCACCCCTGTCGCGGCAACGGCAACGACACTCGATTGCACGTCATGTGCAGGGATAGCACAGGTTGTGCTCGACCTCCCCCTTTCCCCATCCCCATCCCCACCCCCCCCCCCCCCGTCTCAGCTTGCGGCCGGAGCAGTGGTTGGGGGTGCTTACACTGCTCACCCACACCCTCTCCCACCCTACCTAACGCGCGCTCGGTCGTGCCCGCTTGTGCGGGCTCGATGACACGTGTCGCGCTGGCGAAAATTTTTGCTGGCGCATTTTCACTCTTTTTCTCTACTACCCGCACTCCCTAGCGCTTTTTATGTACACTGTATATTGTACTATGCATATATCACTCATTTGCTATACGAACTAGCGCGAGAACGCGACCCGCGGCAGCAACGACGCGCGCGAGCGCGAGGCGCCGACGTGCTGACTAAGCGACGGCGGCGGCGCGCAGGCGGCGCATCAGCCGCCGCAGAGCACGAGGCGGCGCGAGTGGCGGCGGAGCGCGCGCGATGTGCGGCGCGTGCTGCGGGAAACCCCGACCGGCGAGGCCGGGGGGTCGCCTGCCGCATCGGGCGTCGACCGGAGCCTGCCCGGTGACCTGCCGGGGGTCCGTGGCTGTGTGGATAAGACATACGACGTCTTTTGAACTACCCGAATGATAATAGTCGGACGTCTTTTAAAGGTCCTTACGACCACAGCTGGCCAGCATCGCTTGTTGCGCTCGCGTCAAGCACGTAGACAACGACGGCAATAGGCTGTCATCTGGGCTCCTTCTTGCCCCTCCCCATTTCTTACGCCATCTCCCACCCCCTCCCCTCCCCATTTCCGAACGCGTGCTTGCATCCGCGTGCCTGCGCGGGCTGCATTGCACGTGTCGCATTGGCGAAAAATTTTCGCTGGCGCTTTTTCGCATTTTCTCTTCACTTCGCGCATCCCGCACGCATTCTACGTACTTTTCGTGTACATATTGTATATACACCTTATCTCTGCTGTACACGCGCGGACGAGCACGACCCGCAGCGGCGGCGGCAGCACGCGGCGCGACGTCAACGCGACGCGCTGACGTGGCTGTGCAGCCGCGCCAGCGGCGCATCAACGGCGGGCGGCGCGCGGGAGCCCCGATGGCGGCGGCATCACGCGCGACGGCCGACGCGTGCAGCGCGATCACCCGCGGCGGCGAGCCCGGAGGTCGCCTGCCGCATTGGGCGCAGCCCGGCAACGTCCCGGGCAGCTTCCGGGCGGCCGTGGCTGTGCGGAGAAGACATTCGCTACATTATCAAAAGTACGGCAGACACTTGTCTGCTACTTTTTAAAACAGTTTACCTGCACAGCTGGCGAGCGAGGAGGTCGCAGGTGCGTATCCCCGCACCTCACACGTATTGAAGCTAACAAATATACTCTATACGGCGCCTTGGGAACGCGCGGGGGGCGCTGCGTTGTCGTAACACGCGGCGGCAAGCAAATTGCCCCCCTCCCAGCACCACATCCGCCCTTAGACGCGGTCTGAGGACGCATGGGACTCGCTCGAGACGCGTAAAGCGTTGAAAGTGAGTCCCCCACATTCTTCCTGCTGTAACGCCGACACCCATACAAGTCGCGCCCTGCAATCGGCTGCCGGGTGTTGGCACCCTCCCCCTCCTCCCCCTCCCTGCGCAGCCTCGCCTTTGCAGCGAGGCTCGGCATTGCTGGAGATGCGCCGGGCGCCCTTAAAGGTGACCAGTGCGCCACGCATCTGGCTCGGTCGGCTGGCTATGCCAGCCCACCGAGATTGCCAGCGGGGCGACGCTTGCGCACGCGTCCCTTCTGCCGGCGCGTATACCGCGTACCAAGCCTATACCACCTCCACCCACAGTGAGGTATGGGAAGCGTGCGCGGTGTACGCGCCAGTAGAGGGAGTGCGAGGGCATGCCTCGCCGAGAGGATGAGGAGGGGGAGGATGGTGGTAGGGGGGAAGGGAGCTGGGCAGGAACGGGGAGGATACGAGGAGGGGAGAGGCGAGGAGGATACGAGGAGTGGCGAGGCGAGGAGGATACGAGGACGGGTGAGGAGAACAGGGACGAGACAACGACGAGAAGGGGGGCGAGGGGAATGCATGCGCAGGTGATGGGGAACCTGGCATGTGCCAGTATGCGTGTGTCTGCGTAGCGCGCTCCTCGCCCCTCACCCTCACCCCTGTCCTCGCCACCTTCTTCGTGCGCATCAGGTGCACTATGACGCGCTTCGCAAGCGCGCATAGCGCTGCCTTCCTCCACCCCCTATCGCGCTCGATCGACGCGTTGAACGCGTTGTTCGGCGTGTTCCTATGCGCATTGACCGCGCTTACCGCCCTCCTTCTCCCTCCTCCCCTCTCACGCCATTGTGCGCGCTTACCGAACCGTAGCAGTGTGTCGAGCGCTCGCAAGAAATCGCGCTCGCGCTTTTTTTCGTTTCCCCCCCTTCCCTCCCTCCTCCCTACTCCTTACTGTATGTATATACTTAACATATATCTGTATTTTGTTGTATTCGTCCAATACGATGCGCGGAACGGCAACGGCGCGCGCGCGCGAGGCGTCCTGACGCGTTGACGGCGGGCACGTGCTCCCCCCGACGCGCCATCAAAGCGCGCGCATCACAGCCGACGTCGGCGACGCACGCATCACGGCCACGGCGCCGTATAAGGGAACGATCCCGCCGCCCGGCTCCTCCAGCGGAGGTCGGTCTCGGCAATTGCCGGGCCCGTGAACCTACTCGCAGGAGTTGCAACCCGCCCTCCGACTAATCTCGGGGGAAGTTATAACCTGGCTTACAACATTAGCTGACCGTCGCATATAAGAGGTACGCGGTTCTTTGTTGCTATCCATCCTCACCACATCGACATGTCTTCACCTCCTGAGGTAAGCACTATCGCTTTTCCTTCTCACCATACTGATGGTGCATAGAACATCGCGACGGCCCTTCGCACTGCCCGGGTTCTGAGCGCCCTCCTCAAGCCAGGCCTTGAAGAGATTGTATGTTACACGCCGCTCATAGGGCTGAACGCTAACGAGCCGTAGATCCGCGCCCGCGACAACACACTGCGTTGCGCGTGCAGCAAACTTGCCAACGGCCGGGCACAGCCTTGCAACCAACCCGTCTGCAACGATTGCGTCAAGAACTGTTGAACATTCGGCCTGTCACGACATGTCACGTGTGCATCACATGCACTTACACGCGAGTATCATATGACTCAGATGGACACATATGGACACATAGGTTGGACTTGTCACATGTACGCTTTACTCAGCGTGTTCTGTCCTCTTGACTCATTAGCTATTACTACGTATGACATCGTCGCCTCTCCTGTAGTATATAAGGAGGGCTCCTCTGCCCTGTAATAACAGGTCTTCACCTACTCTGCGCATAGCCTCTAGCTAAGCTCTCTTATATTCAGGTAAGCTGAGTGGTGCGCTTCCCAGCATGCTCAACAGGTTATGAGCCCCGGTGAGCAGTGCCTGCGCCCTTGCTGGCAGCGGCACAGTGTCTGCGCCCTCTGTGGCTGCGACACAAGTCATTAGCGCCGTCACTGGCTGCAATGACGAGCACCCTCATTGCTTGCCGTCACCATGCCGCTCTAAGCGCAGGTGACACCATGCCGGATCGCGTTTACACGCTTGATCCGATGCACCCGTCTCTGAAGGAGACGATGGCCATCGGCATCATGCTCGATTCGCTCATCGGCGCCGTTCCTGGCCGCCACTATGATGTTCGATCCGATGCTGACGATCTATTCAGATCATGTCGAACTCGCTCTACCAGGCCACGTTCCTCTTCGAGGGGAACAACTTCACCCAATGGGTGGATGGCATGTCGTCGTGGCTTGAAGCCCAAGGGCTCGCCTACGTCATTGAGGAAGAAGTTCCTTCTCCTCGGACGAACGACGCGGGCACAGTCGTCAATCAAGACGAGATCACGTCGTGGAAGCGCGACGACGTCAAGGTCAGGGGCAGCATTAAATTGCGCCTCTCGCCTAACGTCAAGAGCAGCATCCCGGCGGACAAGATGGAGACTGCGAAGTCGCTGGTTGAATATCTCCAGGAGGAGTATGGCAGCACTCAGATTGCCGACCTCTTCGGGTTCTTCCAGACGGCGTTGAACGCCAAGTTCAATAGCGGTCAGCATCCTGATCCCCAGATCAACGTCGTCACCAACGCGTTTGCACGGCTCGCTGCCGACGAGATCGTCATCCCTGAGTTACTCAAGGCGATGATTCTCTTGCATGTCGCTGGTATACAGTCCATCACCGAGTCTATCCTTCAGCGATACGACAAGAGTGATCTCACTGTTGCTGTGGTTCGAGAGGCGCTTCTTACGCACTACTCCCACAAGCAGACGATGTCTGGCTCTCACGTCCAGAAGTTCTCGAACGTCAAGCGCAAGCGCGATGATCCGAAGTACTCTAATCAGCAACAGAGTGGAAACTCTGCGCCCAATGGTGGCGATAAGGCTGAGAAGAAGAAGAAGGACAAACGCGGCCAGCGTGGCGGGAAGAACAAGAAGGACAAGGGGAAAGGGAAGCAGCCTGAGCACGCGCATGCGCATGCCACGATCTCTGAGGTCGTCGGATCCGCTCGCATCTCGGCGCTCACTCCATCTGTTGAGAACGTCAAGACGTCTCACGTCGCCCTCATCACTCCCGCCGGGACTAAGGTCCGTCAGGTGGTTGAGAAGCCAGCTGTCGCCGCCGATAAGGCGATCGCCGACACCCCCATCGCGGAAGGCGCGAAGAACGTCTTCGCCACCGCCAAGGAGCTCGACCTTCAGGTCACTCCTGAGATCTATCGCGAGATCGACTCCGTCGTCAACGTTGGCGGCTTCCCCGTCAACATGGACTGTACCGACGATTTCCCCACTCCGCGCGCGTCTTCTTCGAAGATGCAGATCGATGATGAGCCGCCCGTCAAGCGTGCTCGCGTCGACGATCACACGCTCAACTCGTTCCTCTTCGACGGGACGATCGATGAGCAGATCAGCTGGGATCTCTCTCCTCTGGAGGAGTACCTGCGCGAGGAGAATATGTTCGGGGACGTCGAGGTCAACGTCGATGACGCCATCGCCCAGGCTGCTGGTCTCACTGGCGCCGACAGGCAAGTACCCTCTCACGAGGATTTACTGCGCAATACTGATTGCGGCACACAGCGCTTGATCTTATCGCGCGATTCTGTACTATATTGTATGCTGACTGGTTCGCATGAATTATGTACGAATATATTTTGTGCCTGCAACGACATTGCTGCGTGTCCTAAGTGTAAGGGAAAAGCACCGCTTCACGGAGACGAATTGGGTTTCCCGCCTTCTTGGCTCGTCGACTCTGGTGCATCTCTCCACGTGACGTCGGAAGAGAGTGATCTGGCTGGCTATGAGAAACTCTCTGAGCCAATTGTCGCGCAGACCGCATCCAAAGACACTACGCTTGCATTGGTTGGTCGAGGGACAGCCTTTGTTGATCACTGCGTCACGAGGCATGGGAGGAAAGTTGTCACGACTTCGCAGCTATATCCAGTGTACCACGTGCCTGGATTGCATGGTCGTCTACTTTCCTTGGGCTCCTTACTTCAAGGAGGATTATCTGTGCGTGGAAACAGCACGATGATCAGCTTACATCGGAAGAACTCTCCTCTTTCGGTACTTGAGTTTTACAAGCTCAACGAAGTGCAAACCCTGTACTTCCTCTGGTCGACGCCTTCTACGGCGAAGACTGTGCAGTCTGTGTCTACCGTATACAAGGTCGACTATGACATCATGCACCGGCGATTCGCACATCCGTCGAAAGACGTTCTACGTCAGGCGAAGAAACACACCAAGGGCTTTCCCCAAGACCTTGTTTTTCCCGAGGAAACTCGCCCCTGCAAAGGTTGCGCGCAAGGGAAAATGCACCAACGTGCCTTCCCGCCTTCCGAGCATCGTGCGAAAAATCCCTTTGATGTTATCCATTCGGATCTCAAAGAATTCCCGACGATATCTTATCACAAGTATCGTTACTTTATTGGCTTCTTTGATGAGGCACTCTCCTTTGGCTGGACAGTATGCATATCGCAGAAGTCCGACGCCAAGCAGGCTACGCGCAACTTTATTGCGATGGTCAAAAACCAGTTCGGTGCTACGATTAAAAAGTGGCATATCGATAATGGGGGAGAGTTTAAAGGCATGGGAATGGAGGAATTCCTTGCGGAGAACGGGATTCTGGTGGAGAAAGGCGCACCTTACGCTCATCAGCAGAACGGTCGCGCCGAGCGCTTCAACCGGACGATTATGGACAAGGCCGAAGCCATGCGCTTCACGGCATGTCTGCCTAACTCGTTCTGGGAGTTCGCGATTGCACTCGCGACACGGATCTACAATTGGACGCCTATCCGGCGTTTGAAGTGGAAAACTCCGTACGAAGCACTCCACAAGGAGAAACCGGATATTTCACATCTCCGGGTCTTTGGTTGCGCTGCTTATGTCTTTATCCCCGAGGAGAAACGCCAGAACAAGTTATCGCCCAAATCGGAGCTGATGACGTACCTGGGTATTCCCGATGGTGTGAAGGGATATTTGTTCATGCGCTCTAACACATCTCTCTTCGTTGCCACTCAGGCGATGTTTGATGAAGAAGTGTTTCCCCGCTGCCCTGACAGCGATTCGAATCGTCGTCAACATGTCCCTGTCGGTGATGAACCACAGCGTGACGATGATCCAGCGGATCCACAAGATCTGCAGGGACCAGGAGATCTGCCAGGTGATGATGACGATGCTCCGTCTCCACTGGCACCTCCGGCTCCTCCTCTACCCCCAAGAGGAAATGATGATGATGATGACGATCAAAATCATCAGGACCCGCCGCCTGATCGTCGGGATAAGACTCCAGAGGCAGCCCCGCCCGCTCCTAAGCGAGGCAGAGGGCGTAAGCAAGCAGGACCACCTCCTGAACCTACTCGGAAGTCTACGCGATTGCGGTCGAAGCTTGCACGTCCGAATAATGTCTATGGAGATCGCGCTCCAGCGGAAATTGAACGCGATGTCTCGAGCGAGACGAAGTGGAGAGAGATGGTTGGCGATGATGAACCGCGTAGCTCGCGTTCGAAAGCCACATCCGGTGCTGAGAAAGGGATTCCCGACCCTAGCTCGCAGCCATCTTCGCGCGCAGACGCTCCTGAGCATCTAGACGACGACGAAGCTCGCATACAAAAGCTATGCCGGGAAGGGGGAGTAGGACTCATCACGGAGCTGCTTTCAAAGGCGATTCCGAATGAGACCGTCCCAGACACGTCCAATATTCGCAATTGGACATTTCGCGATATTTACAAGCTGCCGAAGGCGCTACAGAAGGAGTGGTTTGACGCTTGCCGCGAGGAGCTTGAGGCGCTCCGTCAGCGCAAGGTTTACTCCCTTGTGGACCGTCCGAAAGGACGGAAGGTCATCAAATGCCGCTGGGTCTTTGATCAGAAATCTGATGGCCGCAAACGAGCCCGGCTTGTAGCCAAGGGGTTCAGTCAAGTCGAGGGCATCGACTATGACGAAATCTTCTCGCCTGTTGTCAGGTACGAGACGTTCCGACTGGTCATCGCGCTTGCCGCGCTTGAAGGCTGGCATATGTCAGGTCTTGACGTCAGGAAAGCCTTTCTATACGGCGATCTAGACGAAGAGATCTACATGGAACAACCCGAAGGCTTTATTGCCAAAGGGAAGCAGGGCAAAGTCATGCTCCTGCACAAGGCGATCTACGGACTGAAACAAGCTGCTCTCGCATGGTGGAAAGCGCTGACGAAGTCCACAAAAGCCATGGGCTGGGTCCGACTCACATCGGATGCCGGTGTCTTCTTCTACGAGGACTCGAACGGTCACTTCTGTGTGATCATTGTCTACGTAGATGACGCGATGTTCTTCTCGAAGGACAAGAAGCTCATTGCCTTTCTCAAGGCTGAGTTCAACAAGCGATGGGAATGCCGCAATCAGGAAATCACTGAGGAGTTCCTGCGCATGCGCATCACACGAGACGGATCTAAGATCAAGCTCGATCAGATTCCGTACCTCGATAAGGTGCTGCAACGCTTTGGGATGCAGAACTGCAAGTTCGCAGCGACACCTCTACCGGCCGGCTACGTTCCGATGCCAAATGAGGATGAAGTCGATCCCGCACTCCGTCAGAAATTCCAGTCGGTCATTGGATCGCTTCTCTTCATCATGTTGGGCACACGCTCCGACATTGCGTTCGCAGTGACCAAGTTGTCACAGTTCGCCGCCAACCCGTCTCAGGATCACCTCCATAAAGCGCTGTATATCTGCCGCTATTTGGCTGGTACCAGGGATTACGCACTTGTCTTTGATGGCAAATCCAATGGCGGACTTATTGCGTACACTGATTCGGATTGGGCCTCCGATCCAATCAAGAGGAGATCGACCACCGGCTTCTTCATGAAGTTGGCCAACGGGAACATCTGCTGGCAGTCACGTTTGCAGCGCACAGTCGCAGCCTCGTCGACAGAAGCAGAATACATGGCGCTCTCCGACTGTAGCCGCCAGGTGATGTGGCTGAAGAGTCTCTTAGCAGAACTCAGACGCAAAATCACTGTTCCTGTCCCCATCTGCGGTGACAACCAGGGCTCCATCTTCACGGGCTCTAACGCCTACCGAGACCGCCGGATGAAACACATCGACATCCGTTACCACTACATCCGTGAGCTGGTCGAGGAGAAGGAGGTCGAGTTGTTCTTTATAGACGGCTCAGACAACCCTGCGGATTTGTTCACCAAGAACTTAGGGCGCACTCTGTTCTTGAAGTTCAGATCGCAACTAGGACTTGAGTTCTACTCGTCCTAGACGGCCGATGAAGATATGCGCTTGCATACGCTGGCGCGCACTTAGCGAGGGGGAGTGTTGAACATTCGGCCTGTCACGACATGTCACGTGTGCATCACATGCACTTACACGCGAGTATCATATGACTCAGATGGACACATATGGACACATAGGTTGGACTTGTCACATGTACGCTTTACTCAGCGTGTTCTGTCCTCTTGACTCATTAGCTATTACTACGTATGACATCGTCGCCTCTCCTGTAGTATATAAGGAGGGCTCCTCTGCCCTGTAATAACAGGTCTTCACCTACTCTGCGCATAGCCTCTAGCTAAGCTCTCTTATATTCAGGTAAGCTGAGTGGTGCGCTTCCCAGCATGCTCAACAAGAACAAGTGCCCTCGCTGCAAGAAGCCGGCGTCGAATCCGAACCCGTTGTGCCAGTTCCATGCCGGTCCATGCTGCCCGTACTCGCACGGTGGCGTGTACCACTTTGTTACCGGACATCGACCTTTGCCCGAGCACCCAACGATGTAAGAAGTTCCCATCGGGCGTGAACCTATCCACGGGACCTCATTCAACGAGCCATGGCGTTATCCAGGGGCTGGTTAGCTCACTTTTGCGGCGCTCTCCAGCCAGCTTACAAATGCAGGCTTTGGGTTTTTCGGCGATTCTGACCACAGATAAAGCCATTTTCGCGGTTTTATTGACTGTGTGGGCAGGTATAATACATTAAATCGGTATTTAGGTGTATAGAGTCAAGTCTTGCCCCATTTGGATGCCACGCACCTTGTGCACGCCTGGCGCGCTTCCCGCGCGCCCCCCGCCCCCTACTGGTACCTACAATTCTGACAGCATATACCCCGCGACATTGTGCAGAGCAGGCAGGGATACGCGCGACGCCGCCGGCGTGTCTGTGCTCCAAATCGTGCGCGTTCGCGACCCGTAGACCGCAAATCTGGGGCGATTCGGTTGGTGCCGGCGCTCTGGCGGCATGCCTCCGGGCGCCACGCCACTGCCGGGACCATTGCGTGGCGCCGTACATAGATGCTGGTCCGGGGGAATTGCGCTGGCGTGCCTCTACGATACACAGGCACTTGTACGAGGCCCTTGGACGGTGTGTAGCGCCTCTGTTGCGATAGCGCTCTTCGTGCCGGTTCCGCACGGACATTTCCGGTCCTGCTCGCACTCGCGTCGATCGTGCTGGTACTCGTGCGGATGGGGTATGCATTCGTTCGCGCTGTCGTCGTGTTCCTCCGGCTCGGCAGCTTCGCGACGCGGTCGTAATGATGCAGGGGTTGCTGCCGGCGGTTGCCGAGAGCACCTCCGCGGGTGGTGCGGGACAATAGCCGTCCCTCGCGCACCATCGCGCATGCGCTGTGTACCTATGCGACGCCTCAAGCGATGCCCGCGCTGCAGCATCCGGCATGCGAGCAGCGGCCCTTCGATGAGGCGCACATGGAAGGCGACGCGTGCTCTCGCCTTCCCTCTCGCCTCCCTCGCTCTCGTTCTCGTTCTCGCCCTCCTCGCCATCCTTGACCTCGGAGCGCAGTGCCCGCGTGCTCGCGCGGAGCCTACATGTCCACCATCGTCGTAGCCGGCCTTGTACCCCACCCGAATCGCGCGCGTCTTATATGGTCGGCTCACGGTGCATGTTATGCCTGGCGTCCTGAGGATGTAGATGGGAGCAGGGGCAGGGGCGCGTCCGTTGGGCTATCCACTGGCTCGTCAAGGCCTAGCAGGGTCTGAGACTCGGCCAACCACACGTCTGTGTCGTCGTTGAGCTGTTGCCACGTCTCAAACATGCGACGCTTCGTCTTTCCGACCGGATGGTCCCAGACATCGCGGAAGTGGTCACGAAGCTGCAGCCATTGCGCCTGCTGCTTCAGCGCGTATGCACGCGCGCCGAGATCATAAGCCGGCCCTCGCCCGAGCGAGACAGTTGCCCGCGCGCGCCAGACTTCCGCTTCCGCCTCCAAGCTACGCAGACACTGTCACATGTCCTCACGCAGCAGCTCCACCTCCTCCACCCAACAATTCTTGCGTGCTAGAGCTTGCGCCCACAGATGCCGTACAGCTACAGTAGTACAAGTGTCAGCACATATACAGATATGACTGTAGAGAAGACTCACTCTTCTCCACGTCCGCAGCGTCTATGTCGGTGTTGGCGTACAGTCCGTTTGCTGTCCAGATCCAGGACATCGTGCTCTTGCCCATCGAGACATGGACATGACGAGTGCGCTGCCTATCGGCAGCCGCTGACTTCCTCGCCGCGTCGTCGTCCGCCTCGGCACGCTCGCCCTCGAGCTGGAGGTCCTTCGCATGGAGCACGGGGTAGTCCGGGTCCTGGTTAACGCCCCGCAAGTCCAAGATGGCCTGACGGGCCGCGCGATACGCCTGCGCGTCGAGATCGATGCGTTCTTGTAAGGTGGCCAGCAATGTACGCGCGCGGGTGTTTTGCTTCTGGCCCGTAAGGTTCGAGTTGCGGTACTGGATGTAATACTGCTTCGCATGCAGCTTCTTGCGTATCTGCTGAATGGTATCGTGCGCTTGAGCGCGGCGTAACTTCAACTCCTTTGCTGGCAGCCCTTCAGCGCACGCGACGCATCGCTTGTCTGCGGGTAAACGCGACGGCATGGTGATGGTGAGGTGTTCGGGATCGATGGCTTTGTCGCGTTCTTCTTCAGATGCGGTAGACGGCGCGCCAGGGATGTGAGTCTTGAGCAAGTCGTTGAAGGGCTTTATCTTCTCCAGGAGCGCTCGTCGGCGGTTGTTGATGAGGCCCTCAACGTTCATGGGCAGTACAGCAACGCCGTCAAGGTCGGCGATGATTCGTCGTCTGCAGCATCATGTCAGACCACGTCGTAAGGTAAGAACGGAACACTCACTGTGCTGCCTCTAGTCGCATGCCGGCAACCAAAAACGCAGTCTGCGACGTCCCCTCGACACCCGCGCGACCCGCCTTGAGCTCGTCCAGCTCCTCGCGATCCAAGCGACGTCGAACCTCCGCCTCTGACAAGCCCTCTGAGAACGCGTTAGTCATGAGCAGCCCCACGACACGATGATTCTAACCTATGACGGGGGCCATATATGGGCACGGGAGGCTGCGGTCACTCTTCCAAGCAGTCAGTTCCGCCTTCCACTTCGAGAGCAAGTCGCGCTCGATCGACTTCTGGATGATGCGGAACGACTCAACCTGGACCTTGAGCTCGTCTGTGGCTACGATATAACGACGCGCGAGAAGATAGACTGTCGGGTGGGGTTCAGTATGAATAAAGCAAGTCAAGCACACCACTGGAAGACTTACCGAGGCCGATGAGCTTGCCAAAATTGACGTTATCTATCTTGTCCTCCAGCCAATCATGCCGCGCGCCCTCGCCCATGTACTTCGTCGCCCAAGCAGAAGGGTTCAGAAGCGACCATATTCGCTCAATCGCCTCCCCATCTGTTCGACCCACGCCATCGTGGTACTTCAGCGAGTTAACTGTCCTGCAAGACTCCTCGTGGATGCCGCCGTGCCAGACTGGAAGCCCAAACACGACGTCCAGGTCCTCTCGTTGCAGCGCGCGCGGCATCTTCCTCATCCTGTCGAAGAAGTTGATCGTATATTGGCAGCCGATGTCGTAGGACACGGTTAGCGCCAAGCAGCCGATCATGGCGACGACCGACAGCAAGACGTAGTCGACGTTGCAGTATCTGCACGCGAGACTGGTCAGATGGAATGCCTAGGTGAAGGTGGGGACGGACAGACCTCTCGCCCTTCTGCAAGTCGGCGATACCGTGCGGCTGTACCAGCTCGTGGCGCGCGCAGATGGTCCCGACCACCCCCGAGACTCGCAGGCCCGATGTCGCTTTCGTGTCCTTCTCGACGAGTGCCTTGAAAGCAGCTGTGGTCGTAAGGACCTTTAAAAGACGTCCGACTATTATCATTCGGGTAGTTCAAAAGACGTCGTATGTCTTATCCACACAGCCACGGACCCCCGGCAGGTCACCGGGCAGGCTCCGGTCGACGCCCGATGCGGCAGGCGACCCCCCGGCCTCGCCGGTCGGGGTTTCCCGCAGCACGCGCCGCACATCGCGCGCGCTCCGCCGCCACTCGCGCCGCCTCGTGCTCTGCGGCGGCTGATGCGCCGCCTGCGCGCCGCCGCCGTCGCTTAGTCAGCACGTCGGCGCCTCGCGCTCGCGCGCGTCGTTGCTGCCGCGGGTCGCGTTCTCGCGCTAGTTCGTATAGCAAATGAGTGATATATGCATAGTACAATATACAGTGTACATAAAAAGCGCTAGGGAGTGCGGGTAGTAGAGAAAAAGAGTGAAAATGCGCCAGCAAAAATTTTCGCCAGCGCGACACGTGTCATCGAGCCCGCACAAGCGGGCACGACCGAGCGCGCGTTAGGTAGGGTGGGAGAGGGTGTGGGTGAGCAGTGTAAGCACCCCCAACCACTGCTCCGGCCGCAAGCTGAGACGGGGGGGGGGGGGGTGGGGATGGGGATGGGGAAAGGGGGAGGTCGAGCACAACCTGTGCTATCCCTGCACATGACGTGCAATCGAGTGTCGTTGCCGTTGCCGCGACAGGGGTGACGTAGGCGGTTTTGGAGAGGGCAACGGTCTTGAGGGGCGTGGGGATCAACACCACGCTCGGAAGCGCGTGCGGGCTGGGGGGTTGCGGGTCGCGCACATGCCGCTGCCTTAGGGTGGGGAGAGCGCGTGTGAGGGGCTGCTTGGCATTTCCGACGCGACAGGAATGAGGGGGGAGGGGGCGGCGGTGGGCGAGGGTGGCGAGGTGGTGGTGAGAGGGAAGGTGCAGGCATCCGATCACGATGCCTGCGCGCGCAACGGTGAGCAACCACGTGTGCTAAAAATGGTGGAAAAGGAAGGGGGAGAGGTGTCCAAGATTGCTGGAAATGTTGGGGGGAAGTACCGGCGAGACGCGCTCTGGAATAGCGCGCAGCGGGCGGTGGCCAGCCGTGCCAGATTGGTCTCGATGTTCGGGACCGCTGAAATCTGTCTCGGGACTGCGCGGATATCGGTCCGGGCATCCGAGCGGCGCCTTCGTCAACTTCGATGGGCCCTTGAGCATGCCAATGAGCATCTATGAGCGTAGAAATTTGATAGAGAGGAGGGGAAGGGTGTATAGAAATTGAATCTGAGGTCTGAACTGGAATACCCTCTCAGAGTATGTGTCAGACATCAAATTATTCCAAATTTGCCCCTCAAGACCTACTATCTGTGTCCCTACACTCTATCTAGAACACAGAATATTGTAAAGCATACATGCCAAGTTAAAGAAAGAGTTACTCTACGCATTGCAGCTTGTTTGACGCCCATCCGTCTGGTTTTGAGCGAGATACAACCCAAAAGATCTGTTTTCAAGGCTGAAGAAGGTGAATACATTGGTTTGCACAAAGGGCATCGTAACTGAAGCTCAAGTTCAGCAAGCTACAGACACTTATAGGCTACAAAAACTCATATGTGCAATCTAATACATGTCTACTACGCTAATCTTCCTTCACTTTACCATCTAGCATCCCTCGGCTTGCGTCCGAGGCCGTCGAGTACGACGACGACGAAGCCCGGACATCGGACCGAGTCGCCGGCCCGGACATCCGCCGTGTCGTGGCGGCGCGTTCCTTGCTCCCAACCACCACCTCGACACCCGCACCACCACCCCACCCGTCCACCCGTCCTCCTCCTCTCATAACAAGACGATATAGGGCGTGTTTTACGCGTTTTCACGCGCCAAATGCGTGCTCAACACGCGCTCGATGTTAGCCGGGCAAGCGACACGCGGGGGCCGCCTGCAACGCGCGGCTACGCGTCAAAGCCCCGGAAAATCGTCGAAGGGGAGGGGAGGATGCCCGTGCATCTCGCAGGTGCGTCCCTGCGCTCTGCACATGGTTTTTACTGACCCCCTTTGCTCTCTATTCCCGCTTTTTTACAGTGCATCTCCCCGCGGCGCGTCCAGCGCTGCGGGGCGATTTTTCTAATCAGTAATTCCTCAAGACCTCCCCCTCCCCGTCCCCCCTCCCTCTGTGCCGAAACGCGTCCCCGTGTCGAGCACGGCCCGTTTGAGTACCCACCGCACCGGCGAATTCGCGGTGCTGTGCTCGGCGCGGGACGCGTATTTCGACATTCCTGGGTCATCTCGGCCTAGGAGGGGTTGAAACCTGCGAGCGGTCGCCCGCGCGCTTGCAATCGTGCAGGTGCCCGCTCGCTAGCGCGCAACCGTGCGACGGCAGTCGCACCTGCCTTTTGACCGCCACCGCCACCACCACTCGCGCCGCCTCTCCCGCGCGCGGCTCGTCTCGCCCCCATCAACCCACTACACGCACGCTTGCACTCACACCCCCTGCCACAACCTAACAACGTACCCCATGGTGATGCCGGTCGAGCGTCGCTCCTCCCACCACCATTCGCACTCCCTCCCCCCTCCTTTCCTATACCACCCCAAGCACGCGCGAGCGTGCGCATTTGCTCTCGCGCGCTGCTTAGGGCATGCTGCGCCAGCGAAAAATTTTCGCATGCGCTTTTTTGTGTTTCTCTGCGCATCCCCCGCACTTTTTAGTTACGTTATATGTATTTACCACCCAATATATACACTTTCCTTTGCTTTCTGCATGACACAACGTGAACGACGACGACGGCGGCGGCGGCGGCGCGCGCAAGCGCGAGCGCGAGCGCGATGCCCCTCGACGCGCTGACTAAGCAGCCGCGACGCGCGCGCGAAGGCGGCGCATCAGCCGCCGCAGGGCACGTGGCAACGGCGGCGGCGGCGGAGCGCGCGCGTCGCGCGTCGCGTGCTGCGGGAAACCCCGACCGGCAAGGCCGGGGGGTCGCCTGCCGCATCGGGCGTCGACCGGAGCCTGCCCGGCGACCTGCCGGGGGGCCGTGGCTGTGTGGATAAGGCATACGATGTCTTTTGAAATACCTGAATGATAATAGTCGGACGTCTTTTAAAGGTCCTTACGGCCACAGGTGCTTGAAAGCAATGCATGTACTAATCTGTGGTCGGCGTTAGCGCAAGCTCAATAAGAACAATGCTCAGACGTACGTCAGTCTCGTTCACGTAGCGCGTGAGATGCTCCTTGTAGTCGTCCTTCTTCACGAAATACCCGAGGCCATCGCCGAGCTCAGGGTCGTGTCGCTCGTTGCGGCGGACAAGGTTTTTCAACCGGAAGTTCGCATCACAAGCCAAAGTCGGCCGATATAGATACCTATTGCCCAATGTCAGCCACTTGAAGATCAAAGCGAGGGTGGTATGTACGCTTGGGAATCCTCTACGTCCTTCCATCCATCCGGGAGGTTGACACCCTCCCGCGGGCATGCCCAGCATCGCCACGCCAACGCACCTTGCGTCGTTCCTTGCAGCCCGGAGGGATCGTTCCCGCGACCAAAGCGCTTCGAGCGCAGAAGGAACGTGTACTGCCGATATATTCGGTGAGAGGCAGCGCGACGATCCTGTAGCGCCGGGTCAATGAACATGTCGTATGAACAAGAAGACCGACTCACCGGCTGTAAGGGGACCAGCCGGGAGTGGCCGAGTGGAGACGGTAGCGGAGACGGGGCTAACGTCTAGGCAGCCATGGTCCCCGGACAGCCACACCACCTAGAGGGAGGCGTGACGTCCTAGAAGGGTGAAGAGCGTCACGGTGGACGAGGGAGAGGATCGACGGTGATGGCGGGTCGTGACCGACGATAGAAGAGGGAGTAGGGTAGGGCGTAGCTCGGTAGAGAGAGGAGGGCAAGCGTACTGAATACCACTACACAGTGGACCCATGCGTGAGCCATACATGGGGGGGCGCCCACGAGTAGGGTGCCCGGTAGGCAGCGCCGCCAGCGCCTACACGAGGTGGAGGGTAGTGACGAGGGGGCGGCGTCACTAGGAGAGTGGGAAGGCGTATTGGTCAGAGACATGACCGGTGGCGGTGATCGATGGATGGCGGCATCGGTCAGGGAAGGGGGATGCGACCAGGACGAGTGGCCAGCGAGGCGAGGGGAGGTGAGCCCACAACGGGCCGATGGGAGCGGAAGGCCTGACGAGGGGTGGTACTCCCAAAGGTACACTTCCCACTGCTGCCAGGGTGGACGACCAACTAGACCACACCGGGGGACGAAGGGGAAACACACCAGAGCGGGAGGCGAGGGGTGCCACGGCGTACAGGGAGGGCCGTTCCCCGGAGTACTAGCACCACAACCGCTGCAGAGGCGCGGGCGTAGACCAAGCCTGGGGGCGCAACCCAAGCCAAGGGAGGCGGGCTCGCTAGGAGGCGGCGGAGGCAGCCGAGGGTGTGGAGGGCCCAAGGCAGCGAGGAGGGGATGGGGCGATCATTGATGGGCGACACCCACCGTAGCCAACGACGAGCGTTTCTGGATTAGAGAACTCCCAGAGGTTAACTAAGAGCCAGGCGTAGGGGCGCGAGCTAGGCGAGCGGGGAACCAAGGTATATTAGCAGGGAACAGTAACCAGTAAGTACCAACACACCTAGGCGAGCGGGGAACCAAGGAGATCAAACCCAAAGGATCTCCTGATGCCCACTGCCTGTATATATACTGTAGCTATAGTAATCAAGGGGATAGGAGATAACTACTACAGTCATCAGGTCACAAGATCGGTGAGCGATGATGGTGCGATAAGGCGCCATACAGTAGTGGTGGTGGGAGACAGGTAGAGTACTGGCAATGTCCAGGAAGGGGAAGGGATAAATAAGAGACAGGGAAAGGGGTAGGTTGCCAAAGGGAGAGGGGAGAAGGGAAGTAGGAGATATAAGGGAAACACACCAGGAATGAGTCATAGGTGATGACTGATGGGGGGTGTCAACACATGCAAATGCCATCAGTCCACAAATCAAACATGACCAAACCAATTGAGTCCACATCACGCTTGTGGGCGCTTGTGGGTGGCATGGATATCCCCTGACACCAGCACTTTCCCAAGCTTCAGAGCATCCGTCCGCTCTTCAATTGCCTTCAGCCAGTTGTTCACGTTGACGTTAGCATGCACCGCCGCCAATCGAAATGCATTGAGGGCGCGGAAGGTCACGCAGGTCTCGGGCTCGGCGATGGTCGCGGGATACCATCGATTGCGGAGGAGTTGGCGCACAGCGTTGTTGGAGCAAAGTCCACGGCACGAGCAGTATCGGTACGCGACAGTATGAATAAGATCGTCCACGACAACCATTTGCCGGACGACCGGGTCGGGATGAGCGCAAGGAAGCCCCCCGTGCCCGAGCTGATAGATTAAACCCATGCTCTTGAGGGTGATTCGTTGCCAGTACGACCCCGTCCATTCCTGAGAATTCATTAGCAATCGCGACGCGTCAATTGTGGCGCAGAACTGACCTGGATATCGTGCAAGGGCATTGAGCGGTGCCGCGCCAGAGCGCAGTTCAAACACTCATTGAAATCACCGCACTCCCAGCAGCAGAACAGCCGCAATGTTTCGGCGGCGCGCGGGGGATCGAGAGAGGGCAGAGGGGGGTCTTCAGCTCACCTGTGCAGGTAACACATTTTAAAAAGTAGCTGACAAGTGTCCGGCAAACCGTTGAAAAAGTAAGGAATGTCTTATCCGCACAGCCACGGCCCTCCGGCCGCTGCCCGGGACGATGCCGAGCGTCGCCCTTTGCGGTAGGTGACCCCCCGGCCTCGCCGGTCGGAGTCTTCCGCAGCACGCGCCGCGCATCGCGCGCGCTCCGCCGCCATCGGGGCTGCCTCGTGCCCTGCGGCGGCTGATGCGCCGCCCGCGCGTCATTGCAATCGCTTAGTCAGCTTGTCGGCGCGTCGCGCTCGCGCGCGTCGCCGCCGCCTCTGGTCGCGCTCTCGCTCGGCTTTGTGTAGAAAACATAGAATAGATGTATTATCAACATGTAATGTACAAAAGGGAGCGCTGGGAAGCGCGGAACGTAGCGAGAAAGTACGAAAACACGCCGGCGAAAATTTTCGCCAGCACGACACGTGTCGTGCACCCCGCGCAAGGAAGCGTGAGCGTGCACGTGCCGTGTGGGAGGGGGGCGGGACAGGCAATGCTCTCGGTTGAGCCTGGCTGCTAAGGAAGGGGACGGGTGGGGTTTTGGGATGAGGGGCGCGCGGTTGCTATGCGCGTGCGGGCCATGGGTACAGGTGGCGGTCATGTCTGGCAAGGGCAGCAGGGGCATGACGAGATCCGGGGCGCGAAGCGAGGGGGTCGGCGTATGAGTAGCTGTGAGCGGTGACAGAGGGCGAGGTGCGTGGATGGTGGTTAGGGCAAGACCAGCGCGAACAGTCACGTGCGTGACCGATGGCGCGCCAGCCTGCGCCAGTGTGTCTGCGCGCGCCAGGGCTGAACCTCCATCCGCCGGACCCTTTCACCCTGGCGTGGAGGGTTTCAGAGCGCGGAAAGACGCGTCACGCGCTGAGCATGGCACCGCGAGTTCGCCAGTGCGGTGGGTACTCGAACGGGCCACGCGCCGCACAAGACGCGTCTCTCCTTAGGCACCTTGTTGAGCATGCTGGGAAGCGCACCACTCACCTTACCTGAATATAAGAGAGCTTAGCTAGAGGCTATGCGCAGAGTAGGTGAAGACCTGCTATTACAGGGGCAGAGGAGCCTCCTTATATATGTACAGGGAGGCGACGATGTCATACGTAGTAATAGCTAATGAGACAAGAGGACAGAACACGCTGAGTAAAGCGTACATGTGACAAGTCCAACCTATGTGTCCATATGTGTCCATCTGAGTCATATGATACTCGCGTGTAGGTGCATGTGATGCACACGTGACATGTCGTGACAGGCCGAATGTTCAACACTCCCCCTCGCTAAGTGCGCGCCAGCGCATGCAAGCGCATATCTTCATCGGCCGTCTAGGACGAGTAGAACTCGAGTCCCAGTTGCGATCTGAACTTCAAGAACAGAGTGCGCCCTAAGTTCTTGGTGAACAAATCCGCAGGGTTGTCAGAGCCGTCTATAAAGAACAACTCGACCTCCTTCTCCTCGACCAGCTCACGGATGTAGTGGTAACAGATGTCGATGTGTTTCATCCGGCGGTCTCGGTAGGCGTTAGAGCCCGTGAAGATGGAGCCCTGGTTGTCACCGCAGATGGGGACAGGAACAGTGATTTTGTGTCTGAGTTCTCCTAAGAGACTCTTCAGCCACATCACTTGGCGGCTACAGTCGGAGAGCGCCATGTATTCTGCTTCTGTCGACGAGGCTGCGACTGTGCGCTGCAAACGTGACTGCCAGCAGATGTTCCCGTTGGCCAACTTCATGAAGAAGCCGGTGGTCGATCTCCTCTTGATTGGATCGGAGGCCCAATCCGAATCAGTGTACGCAATAAGTCCGCCATTGGATTTGCCATCAAAGACAAGTGCGTAATCCCTGGTACCAGCCAAATAGCGGCAGATATACAGCGCTTTATGGAGGTGATCCTGAGACGGGTTGGCGGCGAACTGTGACAACTTGGTCACTGCGAACGCAATGTCAGAGCGCGTGCCCAACATGATGAAGAGAAGCGATCCAATGACCGACTGGAATTTCTGACGGAGTGCGGGATCGACTTCATCCTCATTTGGCATCGGAACGTAGCCGGCCGGTAGAGGTGTCGCTGCGAACTTGCAGTTCTGCATCCCAAAGCGCTGCAGCACCTTACCGAGGTACGGAATCTGATCGAGCTTGATCTTAGATCCGTCTCATGTGATGCGCATGCGCAGGAACTCCTCAGTGATTTCCTGATTGCGGCATTCCCATCGCTTGTTGAACTCAGCCTTGAGAAAGGCAATGAGCTTCTTGTCCTTCGAGAAGAACATCGCGTCATCTACGTAGACAATGATCACACAGAAGTGACCGTTCGAGTCCTCGTAGAAGAAGACACCGGCATCCGATGTGAGTCGGACCCAGCCCATGGCTTTTGTGGACTTTGTCAGCGCTTTCCACCATGCGAGAGCAGCTTGCTTC